ATATAAAAATAAGTTAAACATAAACCGAACTCGCGTGGTCAACAACTCAACATTTTTAGTGGAAAAATTAAAACATCTACCAAACGACTCTACCAAGTGACAGTGATCGTTAACAACAAAGTAAATGGAAATTAATTAATAAAATAATCCATAAAGAGTGAACTAAAAAAAATGTGGACCGAAATTTTAAACCAAACAATTACAAGAACCCAAAATTATTAAATCAACGCACAAAAAAAAACAAGAACAACAAAAACAAACAAAACGACAACTCGCTCCAACAAGAAAAACCAAGGAAGGAAGGCAGGACATTCTCAAAAAAAACGACAACTCGCTCCAACAAGAAAAACCAAGGAAGGAAGACAGGACATTCTCTATCCATTAATCCACTGGAAGAAGGTATCCAGGAAGGAAGATCAACCACCAACCACACAGAAGGAAGACTCCAACGGGACAGTATCGTGAAGAATTAATTAACAATAATTAAAAATTAAAGATTATAAATTAAGATCAGGGAATTAAAAAAAAATAATACAAGATTTATATATTGCAAAAAGTAAGATTCGCGATTTAATAAATAATATAAAGAATAAATCTGGAAGATTTGATAAATAGCTTTGGTGAATTAAATTTAACAAAGGCAACCGGATGTTCAGCACCAAATTTTTCTGCAGGCAGTGTAGCCACCGCCGGCGGTTTAACAGTGGAATTGATATACAGATTAATAAACGCTCAATCGAATGAAGTTAGCAGGAAAGTAGAATGTTTAGAAGGAAGGCTAGCCACAGATGCAAAAACTGTGGAAGATTATAAAACACAAACAATTGACCCAGCTATAAAATGCGATACAATACTTGAAGTGGTAAAGTGGTAAAATCCTTACCAAGTTTCACAGGGGAACCAACACATTATGTAAGTTGGAGGGAAGCTGCAGAAACTGTAATGAGTCTCTATAAAATTAAAAGGGAACAATATTTTACCGCCTTAACAATTTTACGAAATAAAATTATGGTGATGCTCTTAGCAATCATGGAACAGTTTTAAACTTTTAAGCAATCTTATCCCGATTGGACTTTCCACATGGTGATAAACGACCAATATATATTCTCGAGTCAGAAGTAAGTATCCTCAGGCAAGGACGAATGACAATAACTGAGTTTTATAACAAAGTCAATAAAAAAACAAGAAGGGAAAACTAACTTCTGGCGGAATCGAAGTTAATATACCCTTGCAGTTAAAACCGGATATATATTGCAAACATCGGATATAGTGTGTGTACAAAGTTTCAAGTTGATAGCTTTAAAACTGAGAAACTAGTTCGCGTAGAAACAGACAGACAGACGGACAGGCGGACATGTTTATATCAACCTGATCAATAATATATATAGTTTATAGGGTCGGAGATGTCTCCTTCACTGCGTTGCACACTTTTGGACAAAATTATAATACCCTCTGCAAGGGTATAACAAGAAAGGAAAGCTAACTTCGAGCCGAAATTTATATACCCTTGCAGTTAAAACCGGATATATATCGCAAGCATCGGATATAGTTGGCCGATCCTTATGAGAATATGATAATACAACCCAATTTAATACAATACAAAATTTAAAACAAGTCCCAAACTTCAAAATACCAAAGTTGGTATTCCTACCAAAAACCATTTCCGATCGTTCAGTTATATGACAGCTATAAGATATAGTCGGCCGACCGTTATGAAATTTGGTAGGTCTGATTATTTGACCAAAAATAGTATTTGTACAAAGTTTAAGATTTCTATCTTCGAATAACCAACGAACGTGGGTTATTTCCAATCGTTCAGTTATATGACAGCTCCTTATGAAATTTAGCATGTCATATTATTTTGCCAAAAAGAGCTCTCGCGTACAATTTGAACTCTCTTACTCCAAAAACACGAAAGTTATACCATTTCCGATCAATCAGTTATATGCCAGCTATAGGATATAGTCGGCCGATTCGGACCGTTCCGACTTATATACTGCGTGCAAAGGAAAGAAGGGTGTGTGCAAAGTTTCAAGACGATAGCTTTAAAACTGAGAGACTAGTTTGCGTAGAAACAGACAGATGGATATGCTGATATCAAGAATGTACATACATATATACTTTATATGGTCGCAGATATCTTCGTTATATCTTCCCTCTGCAAGGGTATAAAAATTCATCAAACCCGGATCATTTTTAGAGCAGTTTTAGACTTTTTAGTCTGCTTTCCTACAGAAGTGGTAATAGTGACGTAGGAAGTAGTCGGTTGTTTTTTTCCAAGCGCAAAAGTATGCAACACAAATTTTTTCGGAGAATTCATTCCTTTAGAACAGTCATGCCCAGCCCATTGCTCTTGCCGCTCGCATTGTTTTTGTTTCTGTTCCTAGGCATAGGCAAAGCAATCGCCGTATACATGCACGACTCACTCCAAAAGCAAAGCTGACTACACTAACAATTTTGCGAATTCTCTTGATTCTTCGCGTCTTCGTTGATTTCGGAAACAAGAATTTCGTAGGCTTCGCTGTTATCTCGCTTGCCCGAATGTAAATTGTTGTTGGATCGTCGAAAAATGTACATTGCGAAAAATCAGTCGTCTTTCGCGTGCAGGCAAGATGTTTGCCATTGAAGAAACAAATTTTTGTTATTCTGAAAATTGCTTTTGTGAGCCCCAATGTATTGTTTGCTTTATGAATTTATTTTCATTTTTTTCAGTGCAGAAATTGAAAGAAAAAATAAAACGTTTGCGTAAATGTATTTGTGTTTTCATTTATGTGTATTAGTGAGTTGCTCTGCCATAAGCAACGTTTGGGTTGCCTGCTTTAGAATTTTAACATCCATGGTTAGTTAATGTAAGTGTGGAAGAGATGAATACCGGGTAAATATATCCGGGAAACTAGACTATAGCCATCATTTCTTGCTTTTAACTTTTTAATTTGGTAGTGTATAGTTTGACGCGAAATTGACATTAAACGCATTGCCAAAGTCTTTCACTCCCATTCCAGCGATAAACTTTACTACCATTGAGAAATCTTGTAACCAAACTTAGCTCAGTCGTTGCAGCCATTTTTTTTAAATAAACATTTTTTATTTTAATACCATCGACAAATATTTATTAATAATTAACACAGATGTTTGTTTCTCGCGTCCTTAAAAGTGTTAAAATATTAATATTAGGATGCTATCAAAAGGTTTGTGCCACGCACTTATCATCAGAAAAAGGTAAACGAATATTTGACATGCACAAATCGAAAAATATATCGAGTCCTATTTGCAAAAATAACGTAAGCGTCAAAAAGCAAATTTAACAGGATAGGGTTTTTTCGCAATTTTTTTTCGGTTACTTACAAGCCGATATCTCAGTAAATATATGTGTTTAATATTTTGGGAGCAAATGGTAATAAATGGTTGGTAATAATGTACACGTATGCGTAAAAAAATTTTTTTCTGAAGAATGGAGCCCAAATAGGGCTCGATATGCTTTGTTTTGCGCATTATTTTCTAACCATTATTTGAGGATCCAAAAGTCAAAAAAGGGTTTCGACAAAATAATTATGCCGATAGTGTATTGTATATAGTATAATACCATATATATATAATATATGTAAGTGTATAAGTTACGTATATAAGTGTATATAAAAATTTTTATATAAAATATATATATATTTATAGTGTTTTATATGTATATATTTATAGTCTAGCAGATTTGTTTTTTGATTATTCATTAAAATTAAACTTGCTAGTAGCACTAACCATACAGTATATGCCATAATTATATGCTGTATGGTTAGTGCTAGTACTTATGGTTGAATGGGTCCATTATATGGGTAAAAATAAGTCAAATTAGTATTATCAGTTTATTTATTATCATTTTTAGTATTATCAAATTATTTAATAAAAAAATATTCTATTAAGGCACGTGTCTTTGTTGTATGTTTTTTCTTATTTTATGTTTTCTTTGTTATTTGTTATATGTTACAATACATTTTTATTTTAATAACAACGGCAAATAACAATTTTATCTTCTGCTATCCTCAATTTATTTAAGGGGTTATATACAGTTGTGATAGATGAAAAAATCGATTTTTTTATTGCATATTCGTTAAGTATATATGTACTGTTGAGAATACTCAATTCATAACGATCGGAGCATTAGAACAAAGTTGTAGCTATTTATAGCACACTATCTGCGCTATCAATAAATTTTTAAAAATCCCTCGTTCACGGACTAGACAATACAAGATACTAACTAAATTTTTTGGAAATTTTGTATTTCAGATGAACAGTTTTCGGGATATCATGTCCACCGCACTATCGAAAAAAAAACGATCCGGGAATTCGGCTATAACATTTTTATTATGTAATATTTTTTTATGAAAAAATTTTATTAAGTACCCAGAAACATGTACTAAACAACGTCGGTAAAACATTTTTCATAAATATTTTCTATGGTGTCGAAAAAAATCGATAAAATTACATTTTTTTGCGCGGTACAACTTTATATTAACCCCTTAATCAAAATCCATTTTCTTTTTCACAAATTTCTCCCAAACTAAAATTAACTATCTAATTAAACCTCTTCATTTTGTAGATCATTTATTCAGATCAAACGCACACAAAAATTGTTTAATTATATATTTTAATTCTATACATAGTGTCTTCACAAGCATTCTATTTTTACATCTTTAAAAAAAATTCTTATTGTGATTTTACACGATCTAATCTTCTTTTTAAAAATATTTCTCAAACACCCACAAGCATCATATACTATTTTTTATTTCTAAAACAGAAGATAAAATATGTATGTTGATTGGCTAAAAATATATGTACATTCTTTTACTTTCATATAATATTATACTGTACATATCAACTTCAATGAAAGAAATGTAATGGGTATATTTTACCATACATATAGTTCAATGTATTTGTTTACTTGACTTTTTCATGCATGAAAAAATTTTAATCATTTAAAAAAGCCTCTGTTATACATGGTATATACTTACCATTTTTAAACGGCTCTAACGCACATTGCCCAATAAGGATGGTATAAAAAATTGCATATATTTTTAATAACATATTGTTTATAAAAGTATTTTCAAAACTTTGTTAAGCTAGAACAAAACAGCCCAAACTAGTAGTAAAATTCAGTACAAATATATTCTCATTCTCTTGGAAAGCAAGATAATTCATACTGCCCAGATCGCTGGATTATATACAATCATATAAATATACTTACAATAATACATGAACATATGTATTCATTGTTAGATAATACCAAATGTGTTCAGTCTTATGTATGTACATGTGTACGTACAACATACATACATACATATGTAGATAAGTGGTTTTTCAGTGTTCCGGTCGCATAAAAATATGTTGTTATAAAACATTTATTCAGTATAGATAACGTGTATTATGAAGTACTAGGCAGTAAATCACACATACAGACTTAAAATTAATAAATTTTTAAATATTCTTTCTAGGAAAATCTTGGATCTTCGGTCTTTTTTTTATGCCTTGTACACCAAGGCAGATTTGTTGAAACTGATGGATATATCTTTGGCACGCAGGAGTCAACGACTAAATTCATATTTAATTATTAACATTAGACCAATTTTGTTCTTGGATATTGACCTACTCAACATTATTAATGATGATTTAGATAGCCAGCATTTACTAACACGCTTATATTTTAACCTTATATGACTTTGAAACTTTTGTCCTATTTTCTTAGCCACTGGAGTTCGAATTATACTCAGCACGATGTTTAAACTACAAAGGTGTCTACCGCATCATTTCACTTTCCACTCCCTTAAATCTAAAAAATCAATTCTAAATTTCTTGGAAGTGCGTTGCAATTCCTCCTCGTTATCTTTCTAATTTGTCTTTTCCTGTATCCACTGTAGCTCAAATTATCCTCAGCACAATGTTTACTACATTCTTACTACTACATGTAGACTACAATGGTGTCTACCGAATCATTTCACTTTCCACTCCCTTATTTAAAAAAAATCGATTCTAAATTTCTTGGAGGAGCACAGCAATTCTTCTTCGTTATCTTTATAATTTGTCTTATCCTGAATCCACTATAGTTCAATGATTTCTACCGCATAGTTTTACTTTCCACTCCCTCAAATCTAAATAATCGATTCTAAATTTCTTGGGAGAGCACAGCAATTCATCCTCGTTATCTTTATAATTTGTCTTATCTTTCTATTTGTCATAAAAATCTTGAAAGAAGTGTTTACTTATAACCTCCACCTTTGCATAGGCTTTGGTGTAAGCCGAGATATCAATCTCCGTAGTATTGAGATATACTCAATACTATCAAAGTACTAGCTTTGAAACTCAGAGAAAAGTTCATGTAGAAACAAACAGACGGACAGACAGATAGACGGCATGCTCATATCAACTCAGGAGGTAATCCACATTGAGAATATCTATACTTCATAAGGTCGGAGATGTCTGCTTCACTGAGTTGCACACTTTTGACCAAAAATGTAATACCTTCTGCAAGGGTATAAATATAAAGTAAGTAAGAGCCATTTAAATTCCGTACCACTTAAAAACATTTATAAATGATCATAGGCAACATAACCTTTTTAATAAGATTAAAATTAAACAAGAAGGGACAACTGTAGTCGAGTATCCCGACTATATTACTCATCTCTTACACCCACACTTTCAAGACCCTTTAAGGGACAAGGTTAAAGGTATGAATTTAAAAAAATATATAGATATTAATATCATAATATAATATAACCAATGAATTAGAACGCAAAAATTATCAAATGATCAATTATCCTTACAGAACATATTACAGGATTTCTTAATAATTCAATAAATAACAGCTTTCATTACAAAAGGAAGACTCGGTCCAAAAAATTTTTTTGAAAAATTTAACAGATCTTATAATTACTTGTCAAAGATTAATCAATTTGTCATGTTTGAGAGATCACTGTAGTAGGAGGGATAAAAAATATGTATACTTTATGAGGTCTGGCACGGTATGTTCTACTGCTGCATGTTGTTTGCCAATAATACCGCAACATAATGTTTATATGTAGCAAAAAAACAATAAATAAATTGAATTATTAAGGAATCCTGTATTATATCTTTTAAAGACATTCGATACATGATTTGAAAGGTACTGCGCCACAGATCATAAATATAAGTTACCCGTTTTTTTTTTTTTTAATTTTTATTGTAAAAATTGAAAAATAGTTCTTATTCTTAATATAATTATAAAAAATTAAAATATGAGTTATATATAAATTTTTGTCATAAAAATCCACAAGAAAATTTTATTTTTAAAAGTATAATAATTACGGTCCCTGTAATAATATTTAAATATTAGGACATGCCAAATTTCATAAGGATCGGCCAACTATATCCCATAGCTGCCATATAACTAAACGATCGAAAATGTCCCAACTTGTTATTTTTGGAGATAGAAGTGTGGGACCTTTTTTAGATTTTCTATTATAATAAATTGGGTTATATTATCATATTCTCATAACGATCGGCCAACTATATCCGTTGTTTGCGATATATATCCGGTTTAAGCTTAAAGGGTATATCAACTTCTGCCCCGCCCGAAGTTTGCTTTCCTTTCTTGTTAAAATATATACAAATCAGACAGCAATATGGTTGTAGATCTGGGTAATACAAATTTTAAATTTCATAAGCTATGTTTTAAGCTCACAATGAAGCTTGCTTTAATGTTCAAGCTCGTTTCAAATGCTTCAGAAAGACTGATTTTATGGCCCTTCGGAATTATTTGGCTGAAATCGATTGGAATGTCATTTCGTCTATAAACACAATTGAAGCAGCTACGGATTCGTTTTACGAAATAATTCATAATGCCTTGAACAAATTTGTTCCGGAAGTCCCAGTATCATTGTCTACAAAACCACCTTGGTATAATAAACACCTTTCTCGTCTTAAGAACAGGAAATCCAGAGCTTATAAAAAGTTTCTTAAGTCAGGATCGATGTGCCATCAGTCAAACTTTCTTTATGTTCGCAACCAGCTTATTATTCTCAACGATCAACTTTATAAGCAGTATATCAGGAATTGTAAGGTAAGCTTTCGTAATGATCCAAGCTCCTGCTATTCTTTTGTCAATATGAAACGTAAATCAAATCTTTTTCCTCCTTCCCTATCATATACAAATATTTTACATTCCTCTGAGCAATGTATTGCTAATCTCTTTGTGAATTTTTTCAACCCACTTATTCGTCCGATTCATATAACCTCAATTCTTCTTATCCTTATAAATTACCACATATAAACAACATTTACTTTTCAAAATTCAAATTCAGGATGTGTTCGAAGCTCTTTTAACAATGGATGTGTCATTCTCTGCTGGTTCTGACAATGTTCCTAGCTTTGTTCTAAGGTACTGTTCTGATATCCTTTGCTATCCTATCACTATCTTATTCAACTTATCCTTGGAGTTGGCAAGTCTTCCCAAGAGATGGAATGAATCATTTATTATTCCGCTTCATAAGAAAGGCTTTAAAGCACTTATTGAGAACTACCGGGGGATTGCTAAGCTATCTACGATTCCCAAACTGCTTGAGAAACTGGTTACTTTCCAACTGCAACATTTTTGTAAAAGCATTATTTACACTTCACAGCATGGTTTTGTCAAGCATCGCTCTACCAAAACTAACCTACTTTAATTCACTTCGATCATTCACAGAGGTTTTCTGAACCGCATGCAAATTGATGTGGTATACACTGATTTTAGCAAAGCATTCGATTCTGTGAACCATCATCTTCTCCTTCATAAGCTGTATCTTATGGGGTTTTCTCCACAGTGGTTGACCTCTTATCTATCGAACCGCACGCAGCGTGATTTGTTTAAAAACAGTTCATCACAGATTATATACGTTTCATCTGGTGTCCCACAAGGTAGTCACTTAGGACCCTTCTGTTTGTTCTTTTTGTCAACGATTTACCTAGTGTTGTAAACTATACTACTACATTTATGTATGCTGATGATGTCAAGTTATGTCTTTCTTTCTCAGACCATTTCCTTCATAGACACCTGCAATTAAACCTTAACGAAGTCTTCTTGTAACGTTCAAACAATCTTCTTTTACTTAACTGCTCTAAGTGTAAGGTTATGACGTTCAATCGCAGTGTGCCTCACATCGTTTCGTACTCTCTGGGGAATAACGTCTTAGATCATGTTTCCCTAATTAACGATCTTGGAGTCATTTTTGACAATAAGTTGTCCTTCAACGAACACATATCACTAAGAGTTAATAAAGCCTGGATGTGCTAGCTTTTATCAAACGTTGGTCTAAAGAATTTGATGATCCTTTCACAACTAAAACTTTATATATATCGTTGGTTCGTCCTATCTTGGAATACTGTTCTAGCGTTTGGAGTCCGCAATACTTTGTTCACCAAAGGAGGATTGAATCTGTCCAAATGCAGTTTCTGCTATTTGCGTTAAAAAGCTTAAACTGGGATACTGCCACTTGCCTCCCGTCGTATCATTGCCGTTTAAAACTATTAAACCTACCTCCTTTAAAAGAGCGCCGTACTTGTGCTGGGGTTACGCTACTTCATGTGCTTATTCTTGGACAGGTTGACTCACAAGTACTTCTTGAAAAATTAATGTTCTCTGTTCCTAATAGAGTAACTAGATCCTTCCGACCCCTTTTGTTACCAAGTTCTAGGTCTAATTTTGCTGAACACGATCCATTTCACGTTATTTGTAAAAATTATAGCTCATTGTCCCATTTATTATCCCCTGAACTATCCCTAGATGTAATTAAATCCAAAATTATGGAATATCTTTTAACTTAATTTATCATTACTTTTAGTTATAATAATTTAGATTCTAGAATAACAGATCATTGTTAATAATAAATAACAAAAAATGCTTCTCAATTACTTATTCTCCAATTTAATAACCTGCATGTCCTTTTTATTTTTTCTGCAAAATGATACGCAAGATTCTACCAAAAAGTGACAACAGGTTTTTGAAGACTTTGAGGTTTTGAAAACGACCGAAGATCCAAGATTTTCCTTGGAAGAATATTTAAAAATTAATTAATTTTAAGTCTGTATGTGTGATTTACTGCCTAATAACACAGTGTGACAGTGATTTGGAACTTTTGAAGAGACCTAGTAGGAATTGTTCATTAGGTTGAGTATAGT